TCAGCTGGACTGTGAGGACGGCGCCACGCCCTGAACCCCCTCCCCCCGTTGCTCTGAGGAAGGGGGTGCTCCCTGAGCCCTGACACCAACTGCAATTTGTGGATGAGCTTCAGCCCGTTCCGTGTGCTGGTGCAGGAGGCTTGCCTTTTGCCACGTCTGCGGGGTTCTTTCCCTCCTGCGTGTCTCGGGAGCAGACATCGGGCAGCCCCTCTGCCCTGTCCCCCTCAGAGCTTGGTTGGTGGGCACCGCGCCAGGCTGTGGAGGGGCGGGCCCGGCAGGAGGCAGGCGGCGCTGGGACCAACGCGACCCCGGCCTGACCGAGTCCAGCCCAGCCCCAGTGTCCCGGGGGAGCCCACGCTGTGCGGGCTGCCCCTGGCAGAACGCAGGACTCTGCCCTGAAAGCAAGTCTTAGTTATTAAATAGAGCCCAGGCTCCAAAGTCAGTTTTGCCAGTGTCATGTGTGAAGGTGCACATAACAGCACTAGAGTTATTCTGATACAAAGTACAGCTTGTACAGTACATACTGAGTATGCAGATGTTTCTCAAATGTGTCACTTTGAACGTCTTCCCAACTCATCAAAGAGACAGAGTTTGAAAGAAAGAGGTCTGACTTTGTGGCACACAGGACATGGTCTGTGGGCCGGCTCAGGGTCCTGCCTCCTGGAGCAAGCTTCTTCCCCTCTCGGCCTCAGGTGGCACGTCTGGGAAGTGTCGCCTCAGGTGCAGACAAACTGGCTGGCTCTGAGACCATGCAGGGGACCGTGGCCACCGCAGAGCTGGCCCCCGTGGAGGTGCAGAAAGCCACCCCTTCGCGCCCCCAGGAGTGCAGCACGGCAAGACATATCCGGGAATTAAAGTTGCCTCCCAAAGCCTGGACATGCCGCCAAGGGACAAGCAGGCGCTCGCGCGCCACGTAACCTTTGCGTCTCTGGCAGATTTTAAAGGGCACCTACGGAGACTTGTCAGCACCCAGGTGCTGCTCTGTCTTGGAAGCGAATCCGTGTCCCGAGGAACAGGCACGTTTCACGAGTTTAATTAGGTGGCCGCGGGCCCCTGTGGCTCCGCTAGCTGGTGTGGCGGTGACGTCAGGGCCACACCAGGGGCGAGGAATTTGTTGTGTGTGAAGGGGTAGGAGTAAACACCAGATTCGACATCGTGCCCCGCCCCGGCCTAGACGCCACCCAAGCTGAGGTTGGGGCCGCTCCCACGGGACACTCTGAGGGCAGGGCAGCTCCTGACCCCGGGGCTGGGTTTGTCCCATCCTACCTGGGGACATCCGTCCCGCTAACAGCACCGGGCAAGTGGGGCAGGCAGGCCTCAGCCTGCTGCACGGCCACCGCGACAGCCGGGAACTCGGCACGTGGACAGCCACCGTCCTGTACCATCAGCCATCACAAGTTTCCTTTTGAGAATTTAAGTCCTGTTTGAAAACCGAGTTAAACTGGACCCACAGGGAAACACCCAGATCTGAAGAGCTTTGACAAACGTGTGTACGTCCCTGTGACTAGCCCCCCGGTTGAGAGCCAGGGCACTTATCCTCACTCTGGGCTGTCCCCGTGCTCTTCTGATTTCTGTCACCACCCGGTCGCTCGGCGGTTTCTGGGAGAGCCTACTTTCTTTTGAGACTGCCTCATTACCTGTTTTTCTCTGAAACGTAGGACTTTTTTATTTGTGTGAGTGGTTCTTGGCTATAAAAACGTGTCATGAGATTTATAATCAAAATCAAAGAAAGCAGAACTTTTCACAGCTGCTTTGGCTTTGTCTTTGTGTCTTAAACTTTCCATTTTGAAATGCTTCCCTTGCCTCGGGGGAGAATGTGCGCAGGGCTTTGAAGACACCTCAGATGTGCGGATGGGCCTGCGGCCCCTTCCCTCAGCAGGGCCTCAGAGCCGGCACTTGGCGGCGGAGCTGCTCCTGCCGGCCCCGGGGCGGCGGCGGGCGGTGGAAAGAGCCTGGGCTCCGGGGTCGGCCCTGGAGAGCGGCAGCCCTGCCTGATTGGACGGCCTGTTTAACGTCCCTGGACACCAGCTGCCTCCGCGATCGAGCGGAATAATTGCATCCACCTGAAGGGGCCGTGCCAGGGGCTAAGAGCACGCACGGACCAGGCCTGCCCTTCGCGTCTGCAAAATGGCGAACCCCTCGCGTGATGACCTTTCCCCTCTTGGCTGGGAACACATCTGTTAACGGCACAGGAGACACTGGCCCTCGGTCAAGTATTTCCGATGCCAGTTACCTTCCGGGCCCCGCTGTTTATATCCTGCCACTTGCTAGAAGCTCCACTTTGGTGGGCGGCCTCTGCCTGACCCCCGGGCTGCGGGAGGAAACCACAGGCCTCCCATCTGTCTTCATACCTGTCGTCTTCCGCCCTGGGACATCCCTAAAGACACGCAAGAGAGAAACGGCAGGTGTAGCGGTGCTCGTCCATGCAGGTGGATAAAAGGGTCACAGCCAAATTCAGTCAGTCTCACCAGGCATTGAAAGAAATGTCAAGCCTCGATTCTTAAATTCATTAATAAAAGCCTCACAACCCAAATCAACAACAGAAAGCTCAAAACTGGCCAAGTTTCACACAGGCAACACGGAGGAATTAGGCTGATAGAGACAATAAAAATGAACGAGCTGCGCATTCCCTTTTCTCTAGCAATCAGGAAAATGCCAATTAAAGCAACAGTGACATACAATTTGTCCCTGTCAGATTCACAAAGATTAACTAGTATGATAACACTAGGTGTTGCTTCGGCCAGGAGGTTAACAAGGACTCGTGCGCTGCTGGCAAAGGGGTCGCCGGAGGAGCACTTTCACGCGTGCGCAAGGAGACCCGCGTTGAGATGGTCGCCAGGGACTGTTCCGAGTAGCAAAAAACTGCAAACAACCCAAATATGAGGGGATCAAATGGCCAAAATCTGGTACAGAGTACAAGGGGGCTGGAAAGGAGAAAGTCCAACTTAATTTTAATTTAACTTAAAACAAAAAAAAAGCAAAACCACCAACTAGGAACACTTCGTAGTTTTTTATCAGCGGTTCTAAAAGTGCCATTTGCCCCTAGACCAGCAGCCTTGGCATTACTTGGCAACTGCCAGTAAGAAACCCTCAGGCGCAGACCCAGAGGTGCTGGGCCAGGAACCCTGGGGCGGAGCCCGCTGGCTGCTTCTGTGAGCCCTGCCTTGCCCGCCACTCTGGGCGACAAAACGTGGGTGTTCATTGTTGCTTTCTCTGTGGTTTTCTATACTCTTAAAATTAAAAATGAAAACGATCTCAAGTCTTTCTTTCCCATTCTCCACGCCCTTCTAGGCTGTGAGCTTTGACCTCCCAGCCGAAGGCTCATAAAGAGCATAGACCCCTCGCGGCCACACAAAGTGGCCGGGGGTGGACGGGTCTCCTAACACCAAGCACAGGGCAAGGGGAGCAGGCAGATCTAGTAACTCTCGCCCAAATGGGGATTGTCCAGCAAGTACACCACCCTGAAAAATGTGACCCTCCAACTCTCCTCCTGTCCTCATTGACAGCAAGAATCTTCCCGCACTGGGCGCGGCACGGGCAGCACCAAGTCCCGATGCCACCGCGAGGCGCGTGGCGCAAGCCAGGCCCCCCGCCAACAAGTAGTTGCAGACAGAGGACGCGCGTGCAGAAGACACAGTTCAGGACCGGAAGGCCTGGGGGTCAGATACACAGCACACACAGGACTCAGGGGTTGCGGGGCTGCTCTCGGGAGACTCAGCCTCGGTAGAGAGAGTGGAAGGACTATCTCAAGGAGCCGTGTGAGCAGAGGCCACAGCTTCTAACGCAAAGGCCCTGTAAGCGATCTCCGTGCGGGCGGGGGGTGTGGAACCTGTCCCGCCGCTAATCCTGCAAGCGGATGGATGGAGCCGTTAAAACGTCTGAGCGATGGCATAACGTGTGTGTGCAAAGCAGTGTCCCCAGAAGATAGAGTTGGCCTACATGTCAGAGATGGACTGAAGGCAAGAACACAATGAGCGGTGAGACGTCAGGGCTTCCAGAGAAGGTGAGGCGCAGACACGGGGTGGGTGCCCGCGCAAGGGGAGGGGCTGCGACAGCCGCACCGCCTGGCGCTGTCTGAGCGTCGTAGCTGCTGTAAAAAAGTTACCAGGAATGGAGTGCCTTCTTGCAGTTCTGGAGGCCAGCGCCCAGCATAGGCCTCAGTGGGCTAAAGTGGGCGTGGGCGGCCTTGTGGCTCTGGGGGTCCAGGGAGGAACGTTTCTCTTGCTGCCTCCAGCCGCCGGCAGCCCTTGGCTTGTGGCTCTTTCTCCAGCCACAGATGTGCCGCACAGACTCCCCGCATCCGACCGCACAAATAACACATCACCGTCTCTGAGGAGCCGTCTCGTTTCCCCTATTAGGTGGCCCCCTCTGCGCTCTTGAGCGGTCAGTACGCGTCTCCATCATGAAAGTGGTCATGCGTCATGCGTTCTCAGCCCTGCGCTCCCAGACACACGCAGTGCCTCAGTGTCCTGAGGGCTTGAGCGGCCACTTACACTTAAGAGAAGTTGGACTGCATTCCTGCATCAGGAGTTACTTGTACCCTCGTCCTCTGGCGTTTTAACTGCTATGTTGGCCGCGGGGTCCTGTTTCGTTTGTAGTCAAAGCGCATTTAGCCTGTTTGAAATATTTAACCAGTATAAAAGTCTTCATTTTACCATACATCTTATTTGAAATGTGATCAAAATTTAGTTTTTTTAATTGAAAAATCATGAAAAATGTTCACACGAAATGGGATTGCCAATGATTTCTCTCACAATGCAAAGTGAACTCACAGAATCAAACACAGTCTGAGACCCAAGAAGTTCAAAACACTCAAACTCTCACCGGAGGAAAGAGCGCAGTAAATGCTGTGGGACTCGTTCGGTGGCTGAGGGTGTCGGCTCCGGTTTTGTAGCCTATTGCTATTTGAAAGCCGTGCAGAACTTCCGTAAACACATTTTGGTGAATTTATACCAATGCTTTTGGTCCACAAAATAACCACTTTTCTCTCCTTGCACCAGGTGGTCGGTGTAGCCCAGGCCATCAACAAGAAATCGGGAAACGGTGGGACATTCACTGAAAAAGATGAAAAGGTACTAAAACTTGTGTCTGGTGTGACGCTTGTCCTGGAAGGTGCTCTCTCTGCAGAGTGTGCAGACCTCCAGGGTCGGCTTTTGCTGAACTCGTTGATCACAAAAGTAGTGTGGTTTACAGCGGTTCGAAATGGTCGCAGCCGCCTTTGCTACCGCTGACACCGTGGGGCCTGACTGAGGGCAACCTGTGCCACGTATTCAGTCGGCAGCGGGTGACCTGCCCCTCCCCACCCCGCTCCCTCAGCTCCGTGCGGCCAGGTCTCCCCATGGGGCGTGTGCGTGCCTGCACCGTGGGGCCGGGCAAAGGGCGACTTTTAATTCACTTACCCTTCATCTCTGCTCTTAAGAAATTCAACCTCGAGTAAAACCCCCGAGAACAGAGCTCCAGGTGTAGCGCTCCAGGTCAGCTAAAAATTGGAACTGCCTTCCTGGCGAAACCAGTTTCAGAATGTCTTATAGGCTTTGCCCACAGCCGGCGGCGGAGGGGTGCGGCCGGCTCCGGGAGGCGCCTGGCTCTGCCGCCCTCCCGGCCAGCTCCGGATTGCCGCAGGGCACAGCGGGCGCCTCTAACACCGGCGGAACAGACGTCCGCTCTCCTGGCCTGGTAGTGACACCTGCGAACACTTGGTGGGGGGCACGGCTCTCAGTCGGCTTTCTGTCCCCTCATCTGTTTATAGTCCATTAGCGTAAACCCCTCCTGAAAGATTTGCGTCCCGGGACTGCAGAATCTCTTGGCAGAATAAATCCATGACTGTGGATTGGCGTATGTCATGTAAAGACTTATTTTAGTGAAAAAGTATCATCATCGTGAGCATATCGCCTTAGTACAGTATAAAGAGAATGACAGATACCTGTTAAAAGGAACATAATTCAGCTGATATCTGCAACTTTATATGGCACTGTTATTGCCAGTCTTCTTTTAAGAAGCATGTGAGCTTTATTTGCCCCAGTAATAAGTTATAAGCTATTTATAGCTTCTCAGCAGGGATCCAAGTTTACTGTCAGTCAGAGACCACACTGAATTTTCCATAGAGAGGAGTTCAGTTTCAAAAGGTGTAAAGAGGCTTGTGCCCGCAGCCCACTCCATTCTCCTTGGGCATCTGCGCGGAACGTGTAACGCAGGAGACCGTCGTGACACCTGTCATCCATGGTGGGGGCCGGAAGGGGGCAGCACTGAGCTCGCACCTGCCCTGCCTCAGGTCCTCCTTCTGTGCAGAAGACACATCTGCACTTTGGGCTTCCTAATACTTATTTCAACTCGCACTGATTTTGGATGCCTTCTCTGTCTCAGGTGACGTAACAAGACAGTTTTACAGGTCCTTCTTATCTGGTGTGGCCTTCCTGTTTTCTAGGACTTTGCCGCTTACTTGGCCTTTTGTGGCATTGTTCTCCACAACGCCCAGCTCTACGAGACTTCACTGCTGGAGAACAAGAGAAATCAGGCAAGTCTGACACGGAGAGAGCCCGGGAATTCTTTTCAAAATTCTGTTAAATGTTTACCCAATGTATGTGTGTGATTTTTATCCAGTATTTGTGTATGACTGAAAATCCAAATAGTACAGATTTAATTTCTAAATACTTGAGTTGTTTCTTCTAATATCATTTCCTATCGTCCGTATTTATCACTGTCCAACAGGATTTGCCCACTAGCTGGTGCAGGTTTACTTGGCTTACGCCGCCCTTTGCTTGCAGGACTCTTGGCCCCCCCAGTATCATTATGTGACTGTTTCGAGCTACCGAATGGGTTGTCTTTGTAACACTAAGTAGGCTTTCAGGTCCCGCTCTGTCAGCTCGCGACATCATCTCTTGATTCCATGCTCCGTAAGACGAGGGCCACAGCACCCCTCATCTCTCCTCCTACTCACCGCTCCTTACTTCTGCTTTCCCATCATGTTGTCTACAACCAAGGTTAACTTTTCTTACCTTTTGTCTAGGTTAATTCTAACATTGCAATTTCAAATGAGGTGTTTATAGGTACTGTGACTGTGTAAATGTTGTTCATGTTAGTTTTCCTGGATGCTTCTGAATTCCATTCTTTTTTCCTCGAACTATTTGCTCTGGTGTAATCTCAGCTGTTGCTACCTGCCTCCCACCCATCCCCCAAGACTCTCCACTATTCAGGCATTCTGTTGAGTTCTTTACCTTAGAGATCTCCAAATCAATGTTCTCCTTCTCCATCTTTCCTCTTCCAAGGCAAACTACTTCGCCCATGGCTGCTTCACAGGTGTCAGCATAGAACGTCCCTTGCTGCTTTCTTAGGATGCCTCCTCTGCTGTCCACTGGATCCCTAACTCCTCTCTCAGTTCACTGCCTTCTTTGGTTGCAGCACATTCTCAGTGAACTCCTTGAGGAAGGGCCATGGTGAGGCAAGCTTTCTGAGTCCACGCATGTATGAAAATGTCTGTTGTACCATCCTGCCAGTTTGGCTGGGTATAAAATTCTCAAACAGAAAAAAATCAGTTTCTCAGATTTTAAAGGTAGTACTTTGTGTTCTAACTCGTGTTCATGTTGTTCTGATTCTTAACTCTTTGTAGGTTTTTTTGTTTGTTTGTTTTGTTTTGTTTTTCGCCTGTAAGCTTTTTGGATTTTTTTCTTTATCTTTGCTCTGGTAACTTAATTTCACAACATGACTTTTTTAAAAATTCATTATGCTGATACCAGTCATCCTTTTCAGACTGGAGACTTATGCCCTTCAGTCTTATGTGATTCTTTTTCATTATTTCTTTGACAATTCTTCTGCCCTGCCCTTTGTTTTTCTTTTTTGAACTTGTGTTAATAAGATATCGGGCCTTCCGTTGCCTTCGGCTGCACCACCTCCCTAGCTGGCCCCACGCCCCGTCTCGTCATCCATCCGTCTGGTCCCCATTTTCACGAGCACAGCTGTGATCTTGTCACTTTCTTCCTGTAACCCATCACCATCCAAACTGCTTCAAGGGACCTGTAAGGCTTGGAGTCCTTCCTCCGCGTCACGCACCAGCTTCATCTCCCGGCTCTCCTCTCTGCACTCTGTTCCACGGGGAACTTGATCAAAGTTTGCAGTGTGCTACTTTCTCTCCATTCAGTTCTTTCTGACTGAAATATCCCCCTTCCCCGCTTCGCCTCAATGATGCGTACTCGTCTTTCAGACCTCAGCTAGGACAGCATCAACTCCCGTCAATTTTCTGTGATATTCAGTACCTTTCTACCCCTCATCACACAGATTCTTCTGACATTAGAAGAAATCCTGTGGAATTCAAAGGAAAGAGAAATTACTGACAAAATTACAAAAAGAACTCTTAGAAGCTTGTTTACTTTGGACAATATTTACTGTGTTCTGTGAAAATGTTGATAAATGTTAATAAACATTTACTCTTTATTAACAGTGTGTCTTATGTATCAGATACAGTTCAAAGGGCCTTATGGATGTTACGTTATTTAGTTCTTACAATGTTCCTATGATTTCAGTACCACTGTGAGCCTCATTTTTAAGAAACTGGCCCTAGGTCACAAAGCTGGCAGGAAGGGAAGTCAGGGTTACAATCCGAGAACTCAGCGTTCAGAGTCCGTGACTGAACCACTGTATTAACTGTAACAGCAACTGATGGGGAAGTGTCATTAGTAAGCAGAGACTTACACGCTTAATATCAAAATGCAAAAGTTGTTATAGCTCGTTAGATTAAATGTATATAAACAATGTATAGCCTGTATAGATCATTATATTACTTTAATGATCACAAGTAATTACTAAATAATAAACTCTTGAATTTTTCTTCTTCTTCTTCTTTTTGTTCTTTTCTTTTTTTATTCTTTTTTTCCTTTGGCCAGGTGCTGCTTGACCTTGCCAGCTTAATTTTTGAAGAACAGCAGTCGCTGGAAGTAATTCTGAAGAAGATCGCTGCCACGATTATCTCGTTCATGCAGGTGCAGAAATGCACCATTTTCATAGTGGATGAAGATTGCTCCGTGAGTAGAGAGTGTGACCTTTTATGTTTAGAAAGACAGACACTTATGCTCCTTGGAACGCTGCTTTTAAACCCCATGTGAGCCTCCGAACCCGCTCTCAGGCCCCCGCGGTGGTTCGCGGAACGCCGGTGACAGACAGTGAGCTGTCCGGGTGGAAGGCGGCAGCGGTGGCGGTGCGGGTGCCCTCCGGGGGCCCTCCGAGCGGGCACCACGGGCGTGTCCCAGGCGGCTGTGGTCCGCGCTCCGCAGCCTTGATGGAGGGTCGCGTTGTTAGGACAGGGCAGACTCTCCGTGGTCTGGGACGGCGGTGTCCTAGCTGGGAGGGACGGGCTGACCCCCATTCTGAATCATGGGGTATACAATTTTCTTTTACTGGAAGTTGTTTAAAAACCAGAGTCAGGGCCCCCGAGGGGCAGCGTTTTTCAAGCTGCCTGTAAGTGCCCAGCCCTTTCCCAGCCATGGAAACCGCTACAGCGGCCTCGCTGGACACCCCCCACTGCTGACCCGGAACAAGGAGAAACAGCTGCGCGGGAGGCCGCTCTCCCTCGGGGCTGTTGCTTGTAGACGGGCCGGCGAGGCTGCGGTCGGAGTGGGCCCGGCCGAAGGCCGCTTCCCTCACGCCACTTATTTCCCTTCTCAACCTTCGCACTGCTGCTTCTGGAGCATTTCTGAAGCAGTTGTGCGTTTTCTTTTTCCTTTAGACCCTGGGAATTGGCTCCTTGTTGGTGGGTCAATGGGAAAGAGAATGGGGACCCCCCCACCTTGTATCAGTCAGCTACAATACATATATGATATCAGAGTTGATGTTTTTGGGGGGAAGTAGAATAAAAGATACTTAATACTTAAATTATACTGAAAAATTTTAATTGTGAGGTAGTAAGACCGTGCTGCATGGCCCAGCGATGTCTGAGTCATTGTGTGAGTGTGCCCCTCTCAGTGACGTGGTATCAGCGAGGCTGTCACCAGGCTGTAAGATAATCGCGTCCCCCCAGGACCTGCTTCCTCTTTCCACTCGGTTATAAAGTGTTTGCCACAGAGATAATGACAAGGCCGTAGCTGTCCTTTTACAGTTCAGGTTAGAACTCATTAATGCAGAATGTCAACTGACCATGTTTGCCCCGGGACCTGCTCTTTAGCATTTAATGTTTGAAAGTTACACGTGTGGCCCTCCTTTTTCAGACAACTTAAATGTCACATTAATTGGATTCAGCCCCTGCTTCTCTGGTTAACGCCGGTCCTGGCCGCACCTGGCCTGCCTCAGTGGCGCTTTGAGGCCAAGCCCACCTTTAACAGCTTCCGTGGTTGGGCTTAGAACAGGAATTGATTTGGTTTCTATTGCAATTATTTGTTGATTAAAAGTATTTCAACAATGTGAGCCAAAATCAAAATGTCAGCAAGAAAAAAAAATGTACTCTGCTCTTAAACTAATATCATTGATTTATTCCTCTGTTTCCTCCAATTCTTTATGCAGGTGTACGTATAGCCTGGTTGCAAATATGCCCTCTACTTTTTAATGTAACTTCAAAAGTATTTTTCTGTGTTACTAAATCTTCACGATTATTGTAATGATCTCATAAAATATTTCTGGATGATGTGTCTTTTCAAAAAGACACTCTTTACCCAGGATCTAACAGCAGCAATCAATGTATGCATTGATTATGTGTATGCAATGCATGCAATGTATGCATAAAAGCAAGACCTGGAGGATTTTGAATAAATATAAGGAAATGTTGAAGCTAATGTATTTATTAACACATAGTTGGAAAAAAAAAATACTCAAGCAAGCATTCTTGCAAGCGAAGACCAGAAGCGACAGGAGCATAGCTTTACTAGCATGAGGTCATGAAGTGAGTGCTTGGTCCAGTTTTCTCGGAAAGTAAGTAAAAAAAAAAATCACAGCCGTCAACATGCGGGTCGTCCCTTGGACACGCATGTCTGTGAGTAGGTGGTGGTTGTCACCTTGTCAGACAACCTCTCAGTGCTGTTGTTACTCTCTTTTCAGGATTCCTTCTCTAGTGTGTTTCACATGGAGTGTGAGGAATTGGAAAAACCATCAGATACTGTAACAAGGTAAAATGGCAACCTCTGTCTGACTCACGGGGATACAACACTGGCTGAATAGTTGTTGCACGACCCGTTTTATTTAAGATACAGAAGCTAAAGGCTACGCTTTTCCACACTTTAAAACAGTTTGGCCAACGATAAATAAGGAAGTATACCTAAATTTACTATAAAACAGCCATATATGGATGAAGCCATATATAGATGTGACAACATATGAATATTATTAATAAAAATTTGTTGAAGCAAGGAGTAGGATATCCATCGTACTTTCAACTTTTTGGTATATTTCAAAACATTTATCATACAAAATTGGAAGAAGATGCTTGTAATGAAAAACTGGAGACAGAACGAAGCACACGTCACCTCTGCAGGTCACATAAAGCAGATTGCAGGACCGCACATTTGAGGGTGCAGCCTGGTTTCACGCCGAGCCTCGCACAACCGACCCCGGTCACGTGGGTCGGCAGGCGCTGCCCCCTGCCCTCGAATCTCCCTCTTCTTTCTTCTTCCCTCTCGTCTGCTCGCCCCTCCCTCATCTTCCTAGGTCTTCCCCCATCAAGACAGAGAAACTATTCCACAGCAACTTAAAGCCGGTAGTTTGTTAAGGGGTTATATTCAAATCAAAACTCATTATTTCTAGACTGTCATTTTAACAACATGTGACAATGAAAGGCCTGTCCTCCTATTAAAAGAACGCTGGGACTTAGCTGAGGGGCAGGATGTAACTTGGGGCGCACGGGGATTCCCGGGACCGTGGACCTTGGCGGCCGACCTGGGCCAGGGGCGGATGCGCAGGTAGATGAACCAGGTGTCTCTACCCAGAGGCTCCGCTGCCCTGGAGTTTCTGGTTCACAGAGTCATAACTGAATGGCTGACCCTGATTTCCCTCTCGGCATTGTTGGTCTCGACTGACGTTTGCTCCCTTCTCGGAGTCTCTGTGTTTTCTTGCTTCCTGGACACTGTTTAGTTTGTATCGAGTCCTCCGTGGACGTGTGGCAACGTGCCCACGTCCTGCTGAGTGTGTTTCTCTCCTGTGCAGGGCTGGCTTCTGGCTAGACTGCCGAGGTCAGTTACGGAGGTCCTTCTTCCCAGGACAGGGGCTAATCTGTATTATTTTGATTTTATAATGCTATGATACTGCTGTTGCTTTTTATAAAGAACATTTTAGAAAGCTTCTAGGTAAGACATGTAAATATTTGGCTATTTTACTTTTCAGCTTGCATAAATAATGAATTTCTATATACATACAAATATAAACATACGTGTATATTTATGAATTTACATGTATCTAGGAAATTGGCATGATAATGCATATTAAATGTATAAAATTATGAATTACCAACATTTGCCTTGGCATGTTTGTGCAGCAGCATGTCTGCGTAACTGTATTTCATGTATTTGCATTTTGACTTTCATTATTACTTCAGCCAGGTCCTCTCCCGCCAGGTGGTGAGGGTGGAAGGAGGCAGTGAGTTGGTGTAATAGTGACACCTACTGGTCAACATGCATTTTTTTTTTTTAAAAAGCAATGTTTTACTATATATTTAAACTTTTACTAGATATTGATTTGTTTCTGGTGAATACCATGTTCTCTTCCCGTAAGCAAAACAGGTACCTTTTCACTTATGTGTTTAATCATTTCAAAGCTGCCTTAGTATAAAGATCTTTTTTACAAAAGATAACTAGGTGAATGTGACTGATTTGCACGGATCATTTTAACTGAGTCATTAACTTATTTTACAGTACTGAAAATTATTCAACACAAATGCCTTTTGTCCACTGAACATTTTCAACTTAGCTGTTATTCTAATGATGCAATTGAAGGCCTCTTAGTGGTGTGAACATGTTTTTTTAAATAACGATCAGAGATGAAGCTGAGTTTTGGAAAAACTCTGAAGTAGAACGGCGTTTAAGTAACGCCTGCATTTTGCGAAGGCCGGAGCGGCTCCCCACACAGCCCCGGCGGCCTTTCCGTCGCTCTGGAGTGGCTGATGGGTGGCGTTCGGGCCTCTCCGATTCTCCTCATAAACACTATGTCAGTGCAAACGCCCTTCTGTGAGAAGCACATGTTAGCGGGGAGCAAACCATTCTTCTTAGGCAGTTATGTGTCATTTAAAAAATTTGGTTCCTTTGGTATTTTTCCAACCAACCCACTTATCTTTTATAAATTACGTTATATTGAAGACGGTGTGGGAATGGTAAGCACAAAACTAAAAACTGCGCGGGCGCCCATGGTGCATTATCGTTGGCACCGGATCACCACAGGGGAGAGGCGCGGCCACCGGGGCAGGTAGGGGCCGCCCAGAATCCAGGCCGGAAGCCCCGGCCTGGCGGTGCGAGGGTTAATATCTGCGGCTCAAGTGGGAGACCTGCCTGATTAGAAAGGAAAATGAGCACGGTGTTATGTAGTTTGCATGGGCTTCTAATTTTAAGAAAGTTATTTTAGTGCTGTAATTCTTTATTAGTTAATTTTACGTTAATTTATAAATCCACATTTTTATCATAAAATGACAAATACACAAGGTTAATCCCTTAAACTTGCTTCCTTGAACTATATATACTTGTTAAGGATTATTATATAAGAAACCGTAATCTTAGTTAAATTCAGTGACAGCTACTCCTTTAAAAAGCAGTGAAAAGGTTTTCACTACCTGAAACACGGCGGCTCCGGAGTAGAAGAGGAGAGACTCTGAAATCAGTCCGACTGCGTCTGAGCCCGACCGCCTACCAGCTCGAGGCTCCGTGTAAACCATTTAGCCTCTGGCAGCCTCGGTGTCCTCATCAGTCAGAGGGGGACACCTCTTACAGAAAGCGGGATAGTAGTTAGCCCTGAACGGGGAATGCACGTAACAGTCAGGACACGCCCGGCCCATGGTTAGCACCTGTCTTAGCCGGTCCTTCCATGTCTCTCTGGTGCGTTTTCTGTCTTTGGCTCTCGCCGCTGCGGTGACCCGCGTTAGGTCTGACGCGCAGGACTTTCTCGGCGCTTCCCAGCTGCGTGTCCCTAAGTGTCCCCCGCAGGGTGTCCTCACGCACAGCCCACTGACACCGCAGATGCCGGCTGTGCAAAAGAGCGGCGGGCGGCTGAGGTAGGCCGGGTCCTCCAAGAAGCAGGTGCCAGGACCGGAGTAAATACGCAAGACATTTGCGAGGGCGTGTTCCCATCAGCCTGGGATTATTTAGTGTTTTCAAATGCACAGAAAACTCTATTTCAGCAGCGTGTTTCATGCTGTTTTCCCCCCACCCCCACCCCCGCCTGGAACAGCACCCCTCCCTTCATTCCTGATGTCTCTGGTCACGTCCTTAACTCTTACCCAGCCTTCCACGCGTGTCTCCAGCACCACCTCTCCCACCCGCTCCGTGCAGGTGTGAGCTGTCCTGCTCCTCCCCACGCGTGGCGTGGCGTGGCGTCCTCAGCAGGTGCTTGCGTCAGGGCCGGGCCTGGCTCTGACTCCCAAAGCCCGACGCGGAAGGAGCCTAAGCGAGAGCACGGGCCGTGGCTCTGCCCTGGCGGGGCCCAGGCAGGCCGCCCGCCCCCCCCCAACCCGGAGCTGCACACGCGCGGCCTCGGCCCGGCCCCTGGGGTTCTCCCTGCACGCCCAGGGCGCCGGTCCCTTGCCTTGGGGACACACCTCCGCGGAGGCCCGTGTTTCCGAGGGTGGTGTGGAGGCAGAAACGCGCAGCGGCTGCCTCTCCGCAGAGGACTTGAGAAGCTGTCACACTTCCTCTCTTATCCTGTTGATTGGGACTCCCGGGGCGGCCCCCAGCCACGGGGCGACTGAGCCCCGCGATCTGCAGCCAGGGGTCCAGGCAGGGAGCAGGTGACGGAGGGGCGCCTGGGCCCTGGACAGGGCCGTGTGCGCAGCCGGCCGGCGCGCTGATCCTGCGCCACAGCCCTCGCCCGGACCCTCAGCTCCCGGGCGGCGCTGACCCGCCCCCGCTGGTGCCCCCCCTGTTGCCAAGGGTCCCTCTCAGGCAGCCGGCGCTCAGTCTGTGTCAGCTGAGCGCAGGGACTGAGAGTTGCTCGGCATCTGTCCTTGAGTGGGAGAGAAAATGGCGTCCCACGACTCACTCCGTGGCAGGCTCGCGCCTCACTAAGGTAGCCGTGCGGAACGCGGAAAGCGTCAGGGAATTCGGAAGAGAGCGGACCCGGCCGGGTGGCTCAGTTAGCTGGAGCGCTGTCCTGCACACCGAAAGGCCACAGGCCCGTCCGCGGTCCCTGTGCACAGGAGGCACCTGGTCGATGTTTCTCCCACATCGATGTCTCTCTCTCTCCCTCCCTCCCGCCTTCTCCCCCTCCCTTTCCTCTCTCTAAAATCGGTAAACATATCCTCGGGTAAGGATTTAAAAAAAGAGAATTCGGCTTCTGTTGATTTAAAAGTACTTTTAGTATTTCTCCGTCTCTATACCCAGGCCTCGAAGTCTGATTTCATCCTCTGTGGCAAGTTGCTTCTTAACTGTTTTGGGCTTCAGCCAGCACCCTCTGTTAACATGATGAGGACAGGAATAACAAAAGTCATTAATAGTAGAAGGACCATTCTTTAAAAGCTTGGGACCGGGGAGTCTTCCCCTTCCCCTGCACTTTTCTTGTCTTTACCAAAGCCTATTTTTCTTTCCCGAGAGCTTTGCTATATCTGGAATATTTGCAGTTTTAAAATCCGTTTTATGTATCCAGATCCTGCACTGGTCTCGTGAGCTTTTCTCGGGATTCCACCCAGTCTGAGCGTCACATGGAAGCCCGGGAGGCGCTTGGGTCTGACTGTCTGCTCTTCGTCCCTTACACAGGACACCAGGCGCATGGTTGGTACCCAAGCTGAGGGAGTTACAATGACGCTAAAGTGCAGAGAAAAGGAAGGAAGGACTGAAAGGCCTTGGCCGGGAAGGAGGCCTGATGTCAGGCGTCTGTGTGGAGTCGCGGGTGCGCGGGCGCCTCTGTCCAGGACGCGGTGGGGGACAGGGAAAGTGTCGGGACTTGGCGCACTTGGAACACGTGGACATTTTTTCGGAGGCTTGTATTTTATTTTGAAGTGTCTGCCACTATTAGATTTCCCTATTCCCCAGTTATTTTACGGTTAAGATGGGCGTATCACTCCATTGCAATGCAAGTCCGCACCCTGACCCTCTTTGCCAAATTCGCCCCCCTCGTCCAGAGGCATAGGCGGTTTCCTGGGGAAGAAGCACGTTTTGTCTTGTTTTCCCACCCCCAGCACCGGCCCTGCACTTACATACCCTCTGACAGCATCTTACTCTTTGTGTTGAGCCCGTTAAGCAAAAAAGTGGGAGAAAACAGGGAAAAATATTCTAAGTTCAAGAGGAATATTTGAAGAAGATAAATTTTTAATTTAAAAAGTACCACAAGATCTCAAAGAAAAAAGAAACGAGGAGAGCTTGCTTAGTAAGGTTCGCTTAGGCATGGCTGCCTTGTTCCTTGTTTTGAAGTGTGGAAAAGAGGGTTGAGAAGGTGAGACCCACAGTGAGCGACGGAGGGAGCACACAGGCCAGGCCTTCGTCATTCCAGACTCTGACGAGGAGTAAGTCACAGGAGGAGATTCATAGGGATTTTACGTTAAACGGCCCAAAATTCAATGTGCCGATGACCATGGCGATTCAATTAGTTATGACATTTGAAACCTTGTCATAAAGGAGATGAAAAGTTGCGGGTCTTTGTCTTTTCAAAACAATTCAGTTATAGGAACGGCCGAAGTTGTAAATCATCAAATACATCTAAAGCTGCCTTTTCCAAGTGAGGCACATGCTTTGCCCTGTAACTTAACATGGGGGTGTCTCTCTTAGAACAATGCGCTTTGACGCCGTTCTGCCCACAGAGGTCTCACGCGCGTTACTTCCGCAGGGAGCGGGACGCAAACAGGATCAATTACATGTACGCCCAGTACGTCAAGAACACCATGGAGGTGCTGAACGTCGCCGACGTCAGCAAGGACAGGCGGTTCCCCTGGACAGTAAGTGACCCGGGCCTGGGCCTGGGGCTGGAAGTCGGCTCTCGCCTCCGACTGGGGCGAGCACTGGCGCTGCAGCTGGAGGGCTGGCCGGCAGGGACAGCCCAGGAGGGGTCCTGGCTGCCCCTCGCCCGATGAAGGGGCATCGTAGCTCTTAGCATCTGTCGGAGTTGGCCAGCCCTCCCTGAGTATTTTTCTGAGTATTTTTGTTCGTTTTTTCAACATGCACTAACGAATCTTCACACACTCATTTTGAGACAATTTCTCTATTTGCCACTCAATGTCAATGATGTTCTCTAGAGAGGAGTGCTAGAGTCCTTGTGTTTATACTCAAAAATCAAGTTCCACGCGGCCTGAAGTCCCACCGCTGGAGAGCTCCCCACGAGGTAGCTCCGTGCAAATGAAGCCCGTTTCACTTGGCAGCAGAGCTGCAGAAGCCAGTTCATCTGCCTCGAAAACCTTGAATTCTGGCATTTTCCCTCACTTCATTTCAGGAAGGCATCGCCCGTTGAGGCCGCTGTCTTGCTGTTGTTGCTTCGTGCCTAGGAGGCCTCTCAGAGATCGGCAGGGTGGGCGTTAGAAGCAGTGGCGGTCCATCCCCGGGGAGGGGGGCAGTGGGGAACCGCCGTGTCCAGGGGTGGCGCTCCTGGGTGCCACCCCTCCGGCTGTGGCACCCGAGATGCCTCCTACAGGTGGAGCGTGTCCTAGTCCTGTGCAGCACAGGGACCATTTACAATGGAAAAGGAAGAAATCCGGGCTGCATTTATTATTTTCAATAATGGAAAGACTAATTGCTTTCTACTGCACTTATGTGAACTTTATTGTGATGGGCACATTTCTGCACTCCATCGCTCCCGCTAACAGGAGATGGCTACATGAGCGGGTCCAGGCGTCCAGTGTAGTTTACATAATGGCATCTCACGGGCAAATCGGCCTTCTCATAATTTTCCCTTGGTGTTCTTGGTTTTGTTTAGAATGAAAACACGGGGAACGTGAACCAGCAGAGCATCAGAAGTCTGCTTTGTACGCCTATAAAGAATGGAAAGAAGAATAAAGTGATAGGTAAGCCTTTCATTAACCTGCACGCTGCCCTTACCAAAAAAAGAAAAAAAAAAAAATTCCTGGAAACTTGTCTTTCAAGTGCAAATTTAAAGACTAAAATGTGTAAAAAATAAAAGTCAAATTGACAGAAGAATTTTGAAGTAACCCCAGGCATTTGTTACATATCGTATGATGACTTGTAACTGTTATAATCCTATTTTATGGCATTTCTGTCTACGAATGAAGCGTGGAACGTCGGCAGACCGAGGAACATCAGGCCGACGGTGTGTATCCCTTTAGAGCCTCACTCCTTGGATTCTGATTCCTCTCTCCTGAACGTGCGGTTTAGACTCTAGGTTGTGGTCATCTGTTCATCGAAAACACTCAGCGAACGCTCTCCCGCCGCCGTCGGCACTTGGGGTAGAGCAGTGAAGGGGCACAGGCCCCGCCCGCGGGTCAGGTCGTCGCTCCGTGTGCGCCGAGCTTGCAGAGAAGCCTTCCTGGCGGGAGTGGCGGAAGGGCATGTCCTCGCAGAAATGCCGCGACGTCCCCTGTTACTGACAGAGTTTCCTGGCGTTGCAGGTTCTGTTCACCGGAGGACAGAAAATGCAGGGCGACTATGAACAGAGTTCGGACTGTTACCTTTCTCCCAAGCGCTTGACACTAAAGGAGGCAGGAGGACCTTCTAAAGGCTAAGCTTGGAGGGAAGCCCTCGGGAGCTCGGCGGAGAGATGAAGGCTTGCCCTGAAAGCCTGAGGCGTTCCCAGGCCTCTGCTTGACTGTCGTTTCCTTGAAGGAGAGCACAGGCCAAGAAGGGGAGGGCGGGAGGGGGGCGCGTCGCAAGAGCAGGGAGAAAAGAAGACGGAGAGTGCCTGTCCAGGTTCTGTCCGGAAGTCGCGACCTCTGTCCCTCGTGTGGGCACATGCAGAGACGTGTGTCAGCGTGCACCAGGCGAGGCCATCGCTGCAGTGGCGGTGTGCAATGTGATGCCAAATCAACGTTGTTCTCAGGTTTTATCTCCCAGGAAGTTCAAAGTGAAAAGTGTATTTTTCATATTATGCTTTTTGACATAAGTATAAAGCCTTCTTACAGCTCTTTGACCTCTGAAAATGTGAGATTCCAGAAGGTGCCTTATTCACGAGTGAGTTTTCATAAGAAGGAGGACCTCGTGGCAACCTGCCACATCAAGTTCCATCTTCAGTTTTGCTCAGCGGCATCTCTTTGTACACACCGGGGAGCGGGGCGGGGCCGGGGGGTCACCCATGAGCGTCCACCACGCCCCGCAGGTGGTAGGAGAGAGCGAGCCAGGGGGTGCGCGGAGCCCGGGGTGCCGGCAGGACCCACAGCCTCCGCTCTCCTGGAGTGACTGGGAGATTAGAGGCACGTTACTCACCTCTGTGCAGTTGAACGACGCAGCCTTTCAGATCCGTTCAAAATTCACAGTCTGTGATCCTATCACTGTCTCAGACAAATGAGCAAAAAAATGGGAAAAATGCCAGTCGAAGCAATCAGGCCTCTCTTGGCATACATTCTGTGCCACTCTACTTGAGAACAGAGCCTGAAGTAAGCAAAAGCTGTTTTTGCAGAGAAAAATCCCCTGTAAGTAAGCAGGAAGAAAAAAAAAGATTCCCCCAGTGGGGGTTTAGGTGGGGTTCAAGTTGATTCCAAGTACGAGAAGGAAATTTCCATCGTTCCCGCTGCTGTGTGAGTGCAACGAGACGGAGCATTTGAATCCTGGACCAGACTCTGCCCCCAGATGCAGCCTGGAAAACATCACAGCTATAGATAATCTTGCTTACATGTCACAGACCCGCCTCGGCTATGATGTAATCCTCGCAGAGGGTCCCCGCACAGTTCCATGCAGACACACAGATGGGCCCGTGCGCTTTCTGTAACCTCCCTTCCCCTCATCTTTTTCCATTACTGACAGCGAGATGAAATTACAGACATGAGGTGGCGCGGGGCCTGTTGTGCCATCAGATGTCTCCCTAAGGTTGTTCCCCATCACGTGTCTCCTGCGTGGGCTGCCTGAGGCCGAGTGTTTCCACCCCTCCGCTTCCAGCACTGTTAGGGAAGTCGTTTTCTCGTTCAACGTTCACTTATTTTAATAGCTGTTCTTCTTATTTGTTGGGCTAAATATGCCTTTCCCCCGTCGTATCTAACAGAAGTTCTTGTACCTATTACTCATACGAATTTCAGCACATATTTTGAAGGAGTTAGTCCCGTCATTCCCATCCAAAAAAAGGTTTAGGAAACCTCCACTTATGTAAATGACTTACGTTTCCACGTCTTTTTAGTGAAAAGGGTAGTAAGTAGCACAGTGTCACACCTGGCGCGGCTCGGCGGCTCGGCGGCTTAGTGCGAGAGACGCGCGTGTCCTATGACAGTGTGTTCTGAGTGCACCGCTCTCCCCTCAGCTCATCCTGGCGCGGCAGTTGGAGTCCAAAGCACAAGTAAACATCCTAGAATTACGTGAGCATCAGTTTGATCCTACTTCACTTTATTTTTCATATTAAACTGTATCCGTCGGCCAGATCGCCAGCAGCTCGGCAGTGTACAAACTCGCTGTGGGGGCCAGCGCAGGCGCCACCCCACTCCGCTGCGACACCCCCCGCGGCGCACGCGGGGGCCGCGCCAAAAGCGCCCGGCACTTTCCCAGGGTGAGGGTTGGCAGTTACTCCTACTTATCTGGAATTAGCACCAGGAAACGAGACGGTAATAATTGGAACAAAAGGAGAAGAAATAAAAGTAGGAAATTGTAACTTAAAATTATAAAAGTGAACATCTACTGAGTAAAACCAAATATAGATAGTATCATTTCAAGCACTGATTGGAGAAACAGAAAAATAGGGAAAACTTCCCCGCAGCGTTGGGGTGCGGAGTGGCTTGCCCTCTTCGGGCCGGAAGCCCCGCTGAACCGCCAAAAGAGATAAAGTGTGTGCCACGTGCAGGAACTTGTAAGAACATTTTCTGCAAAATGGGTGACATTTGAATGAGATAACAATACTATCAGACAAAATGGAATTTAAGGTAAAACATAATGTAAAGAGTCACTTTGCACTGATTAAGTGTGAAATCCACAAGAACAAAGTATAATTGTCATAAATGCTCTTAATAAACTAAATAATATCTTTGACATATAAAAGCTAAAGCTCTTACAAACACAAGGAGTCCTGGCCAGTGTGGCTCAGTGGATTGCGTGCTGGCCTGCGAACCAAAGGGTCTCTGGTTCGATCCCCAGGCAGGGCACAGGCCTGGCTTGTGAGCCAGGTCCCCAGCAGGGGGCGTGCGAGAGGCAACCACACATTGACATCTCTCTCCCTCTCTTTCTCCCGCCCTTCCCCTCATTCTAAAAGTAAAACTTGAAAAAAAAATTTTAAACCACACAAGGAAAAATGGACAAAATGGTAGTCCATACAATGTTAAAGCATGGGGGAAAATAAGGAAATATCACAATTGATTAATATAAAAATGAAATGGATTTAATTGGCCTATATGTATTTTTATGTTTTGTAATTTAAAAATAAAAATTCCTGACAAATATCCATCAGAATCTCACAGATTTTGATGACATTCATACATACAACACAAACTCAGTCACTTCTGAGAAGCAGGACTGACAGCCCCCCTCGTGGATCACAGGGCCTTAGAGCCAGACGTGTGTAATAAACAGGCAAATCGAGGGGGAAAACTCACTTAGACACGGAAAGGCATCCTCCTAAAGACAAAGAAGAAATCAAAAGTCAAGGTGAGGGTACAGTCGTTCCATGGTTTCAATTAGCAATTGTATCTGTTGCTCAAAAACATTAAATGGAAAATTCCAGAAATAAACAGTTCACACGTTTTAAACGGGGTGGGGGGCGATCGTGAGTCCTGCCTCGTTTCCCCGGGCGGGGTCACCCGCAGGTCGGGGTCTCCCCCCGCAGCCTCCCCGCCCCTGCGCCACTCAGGGGCCATCTCGGTTCTCAGGTGGACTGTCAGGTATTGCAGAGCTCGCGTTTGGGGTCACCCCGATTTTTCTTAATAATGTCCCCAAAAAGCTTCAGTGATAACCACTAGAAAGGATACTGGGACAAGCACTTGGTAAACTCTAATGATACGAAGTAACACTGATATTTTACTATCTAATTGTCCTGCTGCTTGGCTTTCTCCTAACAGGCTTTGGAATATTTTATTTTATGGTTGAACATGTGACCTGGTTTTAGCCAGGTGGTTTTTGTTTTACTTCTGGTCCCGCAGTAACTGCTTGGTTTTCATACAGAAGCGGTTCTGACTTCGTGTGGCTCGCCAGTATCTGGGGAATCTCAAGTGGCCAGGTTTAAATTCGGCAACCACGTGCCGTCCATTCTCTAGTCATTGAAGAGAAGTGGAAACCTCTCTATAGATGCGCCTAAGTGTCACATGCTCTCAAAGCACCCTGTTGGTCTGTCCTATACCTCCTCCTTGGTAGCTTTTTTTTTAACCTGGGCATTTTTGTTTGAAAGAATTAAATTTCTGAAGGGTGTAAAGAAATCAGCAAGATTATCATGAATGCTATAAAAATGTGACCGCCCACTCTGCTTTCAAAGGAGAGTCAAATTGTATCCCTAAACAGATCACTGGCCTTCACTCTTTTTCTTGCCCTGAGCTGAACTCTGTGTCTGTATATCTTTGTCTTCATCTACATCACTGTGTGTCTACGTCTGGGTCTGGGTCTGTGCCTGTGTGTCTGTGTGTCTGTGTGTCTGTGACTGTGTCTGTGTGTCTATGACTATGTGTGTCTGTGTGTCTGTGTCTGTGTGTCTGTGTGTCTGTGTGTCTGTGTCTGTGTGTCTATGACTGTGTGTGTCTGTGTGTCTGTGTGCCTGTGTCTACGTGTCTGTGTGTCTGTGTCTGTGTGGCTGTGTGTCTGTGGCTGTGTCGGCCTCTCTAGCTGGCGGTTGTAGTGCAGACACACTGCGCTGCTCTGCCCTGAGCTGTAGTTGGGGCACTGGCGGCTGAAGCTTGTGCCCTGAACGTCCCCTTTCAGGGTCTGCAGCGCAGGGGGAGGGATAGACGCTTCCTGCTGCACGCACTTGGGGACCTGGGCGAGGCCCCCACTCGACAGCTGTGCCGCCGGGAGCGCGGAGCGCGGTCACGGCCGGGCGGACCGCCCCAGTGCGCCCCGTTGCCGCTGTGATGTTTGTTTGCCTATACGTGCAGTCGCTCCCCTGATGCGGTAACAACGGCCACCGTGCAGGAGGGCACCTCAGCAAAAACGGAAAGGCGGTCACACCGGGGGTGAGGACGAAGCGAGAGACATGTGACTTGCAGGAAGTGTGATTTGGGGGAGAGCCAGGAGCCTGTGCACACAGCTCCCTATCTGCAATGGGGAGACCCCCAGAGGCGGAGGACATAACCCCCGCGAGTGTACCGTGGGAGGGCCTGTCCTTTGTAAACGCTGACTGCCGATTGCCAGCAAGGCCCGGCTCGTCCTCGGAGCGGCCCGCGGTGCTGAGCCGCCGGGGAAGGCTGCCTCGCCGTCGGAGGTGGGTCAGCTCCCACAGACACACGCAGCAGAGCGGACCTGAGCGTGCAGGTCGTCCGTGGTTTAAATGTTGCAGTGTTACGGCTGAAGTGCCCCAGGCGATACAGGGACTGCGTGAACAACCTCGCATGTCCGTGGACCATGCAACCCCTTTGCGCCCTAGAGAAGTAGGAGAGAAGCGACTGTAGTCTCCGCGGGAAAGGAGCCGGGCCAAAGCTGCAGCCTTGCCTTTCCCCACCAACTCGGTGACAGCTTTTGAGCTCCCGCCCTAGGCAGGGCCTTCGCTAGCTGAGGAAGTGGAACTGAAGAAATGAAACCTCTGAACCCAGAGATGCAGAGTCTAGAAGAAAGACAATAACAGCCGGCACCATACGCCGGGTGATGACCAGAGGGCGGAGAGGAGGCACCTGCCCCCCAGGGAAGTGGGCAGCCCCCGGGGCTCAAGGGACGGGGCTCCGGGAGGGGAGCTTGGGGAGGGGGCAGGCCTCGGCGTGCACACACAGGCAGGGTGCAGAGGGGGAGCTGCTGGCAGTGGGCTGAAAGAGCTTCAGAGCAGCACCGTGTGGCAGAAGGTGGCCTTCGGGGCCCGGCTGAGCTAGGGTTTGAGCTGCACACCTGAGCACACCAGCTCGGTGGCCTTGAGCAAATGACTTAACCTTTCTGAGGCTCAGTTTCTTCATCTGTAAAATGGGATGGTCATACCCACCTCCCTGTAAATCCTTAGTATACTGGAGCATCTAGCCCCGGCCTACCCCACAGGGTGGAGGTGGTGGGAGTCTGTTATTCTACTTTTAGAGACAGAAGAGGTAAGACTTGAACAACACTGCGTCACCCAGCCGCAGGCGGTCGCCCGCGTCCGCGCAGACAGAGCACGAGGCTCAGCGTCCCGTGGGACAAATGGCGCCGTGGGGATTGACCGCCCTGCCGATGTCATCTTCCTTTCGTGTGGAGGACGTGCTTGCCTTTCGAAGAGAGGCCAGCACGTAGGAGATGATGGTTTTCTTCAGAGATTAGCTCAGCTTTCATTTCTAAGTGAAGCGTCGTGTTTTTATTTGCAGTGTTAAAAGCTGTCTGCAAACACCTTTCCCCTCGACGCAGAGGACTGTGTTTGAAATCTGAGGCCCCGTTGCAAACTGCCTGTTTTCTGCATTGTTTGTTGTATGTAACTGTGTTTTTAACTTCTGGTTTCTCAGTAAGGAAAAGCAGTCGGCGTGACCCAAAATTCTGGTGCACATCAAAATGGTTCTCTTGGCCAGGGCACAAAAATCCAATTAGTCTCCAAAGGACAAACTGTCTTTGGGGACTCAAGTGACCTGAAATTCACAACCGAGTCTGGAAGAAAACAGCGCTCTAGGATTATTTCCACACAGGCAGCTCACGTTTAGGACTATGTGGAATGAGTTCTTGTGTGAATAAATTCCATTTACTTTCCTAGCTTGGACTGTATCTGGGCGGATCTTTTTGCTCGTTTTGAGATGCCGGGCCTTCGCAGGAGACAAGCACAAGACAGTCTTGGGGGCGCGGTGTCAGAGGCAACAAAAGCTGCGACTGTGCCTGGTAACCTGTGCCCCACTTCTTGGGTCGTTGTAGGGGTGTGCCAACTCGCCAACAAGATGGAGGAGAACACAGGCAAGGTGAAGCCTTTCAACCGGAACGACGAGCAGTTCCTGGAAGCGTTCGCCATCTTCTGCGGCCTGGGCATCCAGAACACGCAGATGTATGAAGCCGTGGAGAGAGCCATGGCCAAGCAGATGGTCACGTTAGAGGTGAGCGCAGCTGAGGGGGTCTCAGCGCCCATGGTGGGGACCTGGGTCACCGTGCCGTCCTCATCACGTGTAGGCCTCTTCTGGCACATGCTCTCACGGGGTTGGGGACCCCGGAGGACCAAGTCCCTCTGTCCTCATTCAAACAGCTAAGGAAACAGACCCAGAATATGTGCCCAAGGTCTCAGGGCCGAACCCCAACTCAGGCACTCGGTTTGTCCTGTCTGTCCTCTGCTTTCTCGGCGGGAAGCAGTTCTTGACCTGGGTCGTCCACACGGAGATGGCACTGCCCGACTGTCCCCAGGTCACCTTGCGGACAGCTGCAGTCACAAGGACAGACACCCTAAGTGCTCTTTGGGAATCAGAAGTGAGGAAAAGAAAGAAAAATCAATGCACAGCAGGCGTAGTTTAAACATCTAGACTAGCTACTTCATCCTCTCTCAGAAACTCACTTCACAGGTGGGTGGGCCGACCCCTGGAAGTCCTGATCGAGTCTTGGGCAGGGGCTGGGGGTCTGCGCCTTCCAGAGCGCCCCCCGTGATTCCAGCCGGCAGGGAGCCACTGGCCGGCGGGGGCGGGGCGGGGGGGTGCTGGCCGCCTCTCCCAGAGGCCAGTTTAGGGAAACAGACTTCAAAAAGTGCAAATGTCTCTCTGTCGTTCACATGGTGGCGTGAAGTGCATTTGAGCGTTTGCCTGCTCTTACCGAGTTTAGATGAGCTGGAACCAGTGTGTGGGATACAACTCTTCCTCGAATCCCCGATAAATGAGTACCCAACCTAAAGAGCTAGAAAGTAGGCATTACACACTGAGGTTTATGAATATCCAAGATGTTTCACTTTACTTCCTAAGGGGAATGTGTCACACTGTTTTGCTACAGTGTCAGATATGATCGTAAACCTGGGGATGTTTCAGCCCAAACACGCACAGACACACACATGCTTATGTGATACAGATATGCTCATATATGTGTCCATAGAGTTTCAAAAATATGGAAATAGTTACCTTTTTACCAATGATTCTAAAACTTTTGGGGATTATTTTGTAAATCTGTGTTGTCTCTGTCGAAAATGAATTTTCAAAAATAAGTTTAAAAGTGTGATAGACCATATAAAGCCCAAGCACTGCCCTGTCACGAAGAAGGTCTGAAATACGCTGTCAGCCCTTCAAGGTTCTCATGGCCGAAGATGGAGATCGGCGATCCCCTCGTCCAGCCGCGATAGCCGGCAAGCCCACCTCCCTCCCCTACAAGGGTGCTGGAAGGCGCTCCGGAGGATGCGGGAGGGAAGCTGGGGCCACGGCCCCGCTCACTGGGTGTGAGCCCCCTGCACCTGGGTGTCCTCAGCGGTCAGTGGGCAGGTCCCTGGGCCAGCGCCGCGCCGCTCCGCGCGGAGCCCTGTGAACGTGGAGGGGTCCCTGAACCTGGGACGCTTCTGTCCCAGCCAGGCAGGTGTTCTCGGAGAGCTCTGCGGTGGTCACAGGCCTCCTCTGAGCCGCTTCCAGGCCGCTGGCTTCCCAAACAGCAACACTGAAACGCCGGTTTATGCAAACCTTGTTTTCCCAAGTCTGCACCCAACCACAAATAACTAAAGGCAGTGTTTTTAAGGGAAAGAAAAAATAATTGAAACTAAATTTTTTGCCAATATTGTGGCTTACAAATATGTGTGTTTTATCAACAACATAGAACTAAAAGTGAGCGGTTTTCTTTGTGCGCGGGGACTACGACCTTGTCTTCCGAAATAAACAATTGAATGGAAACCTGGGCTTTTCTCTCCGTGGAATGGAGAAAGCAGGAAACATCACAAGGCTGGATGGTCTGAGGAGTCTAGTCCTGTTCCTAGAAGTGTTAGCAGAAACTCCAGCCCACAGAGCCCGGCCGCTGGGTAACCTGTGCCCGTCTCTCCCACAGGTTCTGTCCTACCACGCGTCGGCGGCGGAGGAAGAGACCAGAGAGCTGCAGTCCTTGGCGGTAATGCCCCGCTTCCTTTGTAGAAGCAGCTGACCAACCACAGAGCCTCAGTCACACACAGATAGGCCTTTCTCACGGTGTCTGCTTCCACTAGCCATGGTCCCCCGAGACATTTGATCAAACGGGGTAAATATTTAGATGGACACTCATAAAAATATTTAATCAACTCCAATTTCCTGCAGGACTGCGGTCACCAACGATACAAAGATAATAACTTACATTAACTTGTCATACATTAGATGATGCTGGGTTTTTTTCCTAATAATTGTTCTAATCTTTACATCTATCTTAGGCCAAAATTAAATTTAGTTTTCAGTGTGTGCAGAAATGGGGCCAGGTGGTTGTCTGGTTAGTGTCACAACAAGAAGAGTTTCTCGTTTGCTACTGATAACCTCCTCTGTCTTCCTGAGAACCGAGAGTGATTTTAACGTCTGACCATCTGGCCGACTGAGTGTGATTCGCAATCGGGTTCAGTCGGGCCAGTTCCTGACCTCTCGGTCCGTTCTCCTGTGGAGGCTGAGAGAGAAGACGCGCTGAGGTGGAAGTGGCATGTCACAGTCCTAGCTGTGACAGAGGTGGCCTTGGCTGGGATCGTGAAAATCCGGGGGCTGGCACTGGACAGCCACGCGGGCCTTCTGAGTTTGAGAGCGCGGCTCGAGGGCCCGTGTGAGACGCCCTGCGCCAGATGAGGGGCCGGGCCAGGTCACGGTGATTCTTTGTCATCGTCAAGAGCTGTGCGGCCTGCCCAACCCCAGTCCTCAGAGCCCTCCCCACGTTCTCCCATGTGAACTGTGAACCGTGGGGGCCATGGGAAGCTGCAGAAGCCAGTGACTGCTCGAGGCCCCCCCCCCCCCCCCCCGGCAGGAAGTGGGAGCAAGGACATGAGGACACGCACGCACGCACAGTGCACCCCACGAGCCCGCGCACACCCCCACTGCACCACCCGTTAGGGACAGAGAAGAAGGGAGGTGAGTCGGATGAGGATGGTGATGCCCTTCATAACCAAAGCGGGCATGTTAAGGAGAAGGACCAGCCGATTGGCTGTAGAACAGGGCGGGCGTCAGGCGCTGCTGGGCCGGCCAGGTGGACAGTGGCAATCAGGGAAGACAGGCAGGAGCGGGGGCGGGGCGCTGGCGCTCAGGCCTGGGGGCGTGGCCTGGGAGGTGTCCCGGGAGTTGGGGTGGGGGCCTCCCGTGGTCCCGAAGGCACAGCCGGGGAGCCGCTGGGAGAGCGCAGAGGGAGATGGGAAGACAGAGGGCGGTGCGGTTTAGGTGGAAGGAGCCGGACAGGGAAGAGCGGAGAGCCGGGCGGGAGGAGCGCCCCGCCGGAGGCAGCCACGGAAGCAGCTCCGAAAGGAGGACGCCCCCCAGCGGTAGGAAGCGCGACGAGCACTGAGAAGAGGCTGCGGGATCCAGTGATGAGCTTCGGGCACAAGGGAAGAAGAGGATACGAGAAACAGGGGGAAAGGAAGACAGGCTTCTTTTTAAAACAAGTTTTGTGTGGAAGAGGGAGTGGAGGAGTGGCCATGGGCGGCGTTGGCTGAACCGTGTGACGCTGTCCTTGTTCGCTTGGGTTTGGTTTGCTTGCTCACAAGCAAAACCACCGGTGTGCAGGGACCGAGGGGGAGGGAGCTGCGGCGCAGGACGGGACGAGGCCCGGGCCCCCGGCGGGGCCTGGGGGTGAGGAGGGCCGGCCCTTCACCAGGACGCAAGGACGCGGTCCTAACGAGAACAGCTCCATGTACGGAGCGTGTGTGAAGGTCTTCGTGTGTGTTCACTAAGGAGGTTTAACCCACAACAACTCTGTGCGTCGGTGTCCTTAGCAGTCTGAGAGGCGACTGGGGGCCGACTGCGTTTGGGCCGCCCACTCCGGGTCCCCCAGCGCGGAGGAGCCGGGGAGCTAGGCAGGCAGGGAGGAGAGGCCCGGCTTGCACCCTCGGTCCCCGCCGAGGAGAGTGTAAGGGACTTGAGATGATGCTTCCCAAAAGCTAGGCTCCTTTGGAGGTCGGCCTCATTCAGAATTGGCTTTATTTATTTTGTTCTGGATGGTATTCGAAGACAGGAGCATTTTTTCCTATTATTTATGAAGGTGGACAGGTTTAAAGCATCGTTCACATCGGGCTTCGGTGACCCGTTTGTCCGCCCCTCCGGGGGGCGGGGGGCGGCCGTTCGGGGCTGGCTGTGCGCTCTGAGTGGGGAAGGACCGCATGGGAAGACACACGCCTCCGTGCGGTGGCCCTGGGGGGCTAGCACGTTCTACAGTGAGGCCAAGTTTACACTCTGCCACGTGGTGTTTTAGATAAACAGAATCTCATGTATGGGGTATTTCCTAAAGATAATGCCGCCGAAATCACTAGGCTGTTACACTTTGCTTCTCACCTGGACAATAGCAGGGTCTGTCAGAAAACTCTGAAAATGCCTTTCTCAATTATGTGTATAATTGTAGCAAGGGAAAAAGCACTCTGGAATAACTGAAAACGGCTATGTCGCAGGATTGTTCAAAACCATCTGTTGTTCGACTTGGAAAATAGAGGCCTGGCAGCTGCATTGAGCTATTTGGGTTACGTAGCTTGCAGGTCAAATAATTCATTTAAATTGGATCAAATTCAGCAACCGACTGCAATTCTAGTTTTCTGTCAACCTAATAAAAACCCCTGCACAACCCCAGCGGCCCCGACCTCGACGTCACCAGCAGGGACCAAAATCACTGCCTTTGTCACATGTCTGATTCTTCATCCCAATTTAAAACCTAAAATAAATAGAAAAGCCGTCTATTGTTTTTCTTAACTTTTATTTTTAAAAATTAGTTCTTAAGGGAATTAAAAACTATACTGAATATTAATGCCTGTGCCCAGAAAATTTCTGTAGTTATACAAAAGCAATTTTATGGATAGGAAATTCAGAATCCTTATTTTTTTTCCCTTGCTTTCCTTGAGTTTATTGAGTTTCCTATATTAAATCGAATTATCTCTTGGCTTAACATTAGGTGTAGCATAAGTAGGACCTTGAGCTAAGCACTTGGCCATGTATGTTTTCATAATCCTTGGTCATAAGTCATTGAGATAAAAATGAAAGGACCCCAGCTGTCCTGGTTATGGTTATTAGAAAGTTATCAGAATGTAACACATGTTGGTTTGTTTATTATGGGTAACTGACTGGCTGTTTGCCTCTTCTGCCTTCCTCTCTTGTCAGAAGAGCAGTAAATAAATATTGATTAGAGCTTAGTTTTGTCACGGAGGCAGGGCTGACTCCGTTCAGTCCCTACGCCTTCTGCCTTGACCTCTCTCATCGCTGGTGATGTGTCTGAAAGCAAATTGGGACGCTGCGGTGAAAGGCCTTCGTATCGGCAGAGCGAGCGAGGGAGAAGCGACCCTCAGGCAGGTTTCCAAGGATGCCTGGGCCTTCCCGGGTCAGGTGAGGCTGCGCAGGCCACCGGGAGCAGCGGGGGCCAGAGCCCGGTCCCCGCCCGGCCTCTGATGCCCCTCTCAGCATCAGCATGTGACCCCGCTCCTCCCCCCAGGGAATCACATTCCCTCGCTTTTAGAGAAGATTGTCTCAACAACCACATTATTCATGGAAAATGTTGAGCAAAGAATAACAGGGAAGAGTCGATCCTCTAATCTGAAGAGCCAGAGTCACTGGACAGAAGACGTCCTTTTCCCCAGACGGTGCCCGAGACCCTCCCTGGGACAGCCTGGGTCCTCGGGGCTCACAGTGTGTTCTTTGTCCCAAAGCCCACAGCAGGGCCGTGGCCGAGTGTAGCTCCCACCGATGAGACGCGACAGGTTCTGTCTGACTCTCCCTGGTCCCCCTTGCGTGAATCTTACCTTTTTTGCTTTGGTTTTACCTCTGGGTTATCTGCGATATTATTCTTAGCTCCAAAACATCGTGGCCCCATCCTGGAACTTTTGTGCTCTCATGACGTCACCAGATCTGTGTGTACTTGTCCCGGTCGTAGCCACAAGTTTACTCTCGAATTTTACTTCTAAGCATATATGTATTTTATCCTAACCTTGACGTTATCACAGGCCGTCTTTATGTGGTTTTGAAAACCTGCATACTCACTATCCAACTTTCTGCAGCCTGCGCCTCTTCCTTATTGAGAATTAAAGGAATCCGCTCATATGATGTTAGAAAGAAGGAAAAATCACAAAACCCGTGGCTGCAGTGCTTGAAGGATGCGGGGGGCCCTGCCCTCCGCGCCTCACTTGCTCGGTCCTCCACAAGGCCTGGTCCCCGCGCAGCGCGGCGGTCGGTCACCTCCCCCGCATAGGGACGTACTCGCCTACTGGAGGAAGATAAGGGCTGGCAGCCTTGTAAACTGATTGTGTGCATGGTTTTCTTTATTTTTTTAATCCTTATCCCAGGATATGTTGAATTGATTTTTAGAGAGAGAGGAAGGGGTGGGGGAGAGAAAGAGAGACATCAATGTGAGAGAGAAACGTCAAGCGGTTGCCTCCCCTACGTTCCCCAACTAGGGGGTCGGACCCATAACCTTTTGCTGTGCAGGACAATGCAGCAGCCAACTGAGCTACCCAGCCAGGGCTCCGTTTCTGTTTTTAAAAATGCATGTCCTGTGCACGTAGGAAGTGGGGAAGGGAGACATCAGCCTTGTGTGGAATGGGATGTGAGGACCGTCGAGCAGCTGTACCCACAGACCCGGACGCACACGGCCTTCTGCACGGGAGTGCCCGGTGCGGGGCCGCGGGGGTCAGCTCCCGGAGAGGGGAGAGGGGACGCCCAGCCAAGGGTCTCTCCCTGCAGCTTCCAGCAAACTCAGCCAATGCGTTCATTGTATCCCTGAAAATAACCTCCTTAAAGAATGGACCAGGGAGGGAAATGTCTTCCTCGTAACCTTCCTACTGACTCAACAGCAAGGACCAATGTAACGAAATGCCTTCGTAACACATGGACGCTCCCTGGGAGAACTTGACCTTTGGTGGGAGCCCAAGCTCAGCAGCCGCCCTTCCCTTCAGACTCACTCGAACGCCTGACTTTCTG